CAGGCATGACCCAGGAGTTATAAGCTCGGATCTTATTAACGCCTGACAAATAGCTGTTTAGCACATTTTTCAGGCGCCCATAAAAAACCTCGCACACACCCTGTTTCACGTCTGCTTCCTTCACACCGATGGTCTGCGACATGCCCAAATACCGGTATGTTTCAGTCTCGGAGAGTACCCGCAGGTGATTGTGCCAATATTAATGCCATCAGAATGCATGACACGTCCCTTCTCAACATGGACCACCGCGCACTTATCGATCCCAAGCTCCATCCTAACCGAACTGCTGAAACCGTTGGTGATTGTCAGCAGCTCCGTCAATCTGTCAGCTGTGGGGCCGTATAGCTTGAGATCATCCATGTAGAGAAGGTGAGGCATTCGCGGCCCACCTCTCCGAAACTGAAAGCCTGTGCCCGACCTCTCCAATAGAGTACTCAGAGGGTTCAGGGCCAGGCAAAACCACAGTGGACTCAGACAGTCACCCTGGAAAATACCTCGCCTTATTTCTATTCGGTCATCCGCATCCGTCATCCGCCGACCGTCCAGACTCAGGATCGTTCTCCAACATCCCATGCATTGCCCGAGGAAGTGTCGAACTGCACTGTCAATTTTATACAGTTCGAGGACCCTCGAGAGCCATGAGTGGGGCACCGACTCGAACGCTTTCCTATAGTCTATCCAGGCAGCGGAGAAATTCCGACGGTTGCGTCTGACAAGTTGGCCAGCGACCGCGTCGACGAGGAGCAGCTCCTTACTACCGCGGCTACCGCCCCTACATCCGTTCTGAGCCTCAGACATCACACTGTTATCAACAATGTGCTGACTTATCTTGGAGCTCAAAACAGATGTTAAAGTCTTGTATATTGTACAAAGACAAGTTATGGGGCGATACTGTGATGGATCCACGGTAGCATCGCTCTTTGGAGCTAAATGAGTGACCCCAGTAGTTAAGAAGTTTGGGAGCGTCCCACTCTCAAGGGCACTTTGGAACTGACGAGCGAGAGTAGCGTGGCAGCACCAGAACCCCTTCAGCCAATAATGATGCAGTCCGTCCGGTCCCGGACTTTTCCAGTTCGAAGCCTTACGGACCGCTACCGCTACATCCTCTTCGGATATGCTGATGGGATTCATAGGCGCTATGGTTGCACATGCTCTCTCGACCGCTTCGAACCATGGACCCTCTTCGTGATCGACGGGCTGCGACCAAAGCCTTCGCCAAAAGGCGACCACTTCTGCTTTGTCCGGACGCTCACCCGTCAAGACCACATCAGGACGCTCCAGTGTCCTATAAAACTTCTTTTGGTCACTCATGAAGAGACGATTCTGCCGATACCTCTTCACCCTTTCGGAATATCGCCGAATCCGCTTGCCCCAAGCAGCTATCTTCTGCTTCAGATCATCGATGCGCCCTGTCAGTTTTCGCGCAAACTCCGGTGAGTCTACTATATATTATTATTATTGTTATAATTATTAGTATTATTATTATTATCATTATAAAATGCATGTGTACTGTGTTGATTATTCAACGAATAAATGATCTGCATTCTATTCAGCTGCCACTGCAATTCCTTTTTCAAATTAAATGTATTTTGCTTTATGGCAAGTGAACTACTCCATAGACGTGCTATTGAGAAGCACAATAGTAAAAAAATATTAGTAGCAGTAGAGCTCCTTGTGAAAGAGTTCGTCCAGGGCAGTACTGCCATCTTACCTATTTCTGCCGCCAAGCAGCAATGTCAGCATTACTGTGTTCCGGTTTTGAAGGGTAAGGGTACTGGTGAAATTACAGGCACATGGGACTAGTCAACTTATGTCTCAGGGTGACACACGCAGTGGTCGTGCCCCTCAGATCTTTGCAATTTAAAGATCTGAGTGACACTGTAACTGTTATGGATAGGCATGCCGCTTACCATCAGGCCCACGATTTGTTCGTCCCGTCAAGAGTGACGTTATAAAAAAAAACTGAAAAAACAAATTTCACAATCGTTGGAAGTCGCCAACCTGTATCAGGCGAGAGTAGCGGACTATAAGGTAAACCCATGCATAGTAGTGAGGCGTATAATATAAGTCGGTGATGATGATGAACATGTGATGTAACATAAGCCTAGAATTAAAACACGTAACTCGACACTGTGTCACGAGAAGAATGTTTCATTGTCATTAAAAACGTAGGTACAATGAAATAAAATTTTTGTAAGATTTTTATAAAGATTTTAATCTTAAGCACTTTTAATTACTAAAATTTTTATTAACAACACATTTTAATGGATGTAACAATAAATCTGTTGAAATTATGGAATTAAAATAACATAGAAAACAAACTTGTATAAAAAGGAATTTGTTAGCGATCACTGTTGCAAGAGCAATTAAGAATGCAGCAACATGATTCGAACACAAACTGTGTTCGACAGCACTAATTGAGATACAGTAAACAAATTGAATTGACTACGGATCAAGTGCTACGCCATTCGCTACGAAAGCTCAACACTACAGTCAGCAGCAAAAATTATACCTTGATCATAGACAAACTGTTACATATGAATTCTATAGAGTTGATGTTGACCATATGTTTAAAGTTCTATTTAATGGTCAAGTCGTACATACATTGCTAAGAATAAAATAAAATTTGCACAGTTAGTGCTGTTCAATAATTTAATAATAGATCATAAAACAGTACTGCTTAAAGTAATTTAAAAAACCAACCTATCAACTAATAGCAGCAAGTAGCATGTGATTAACCTACGACTTTATTCTGGGTTAATGCACGAACCGCAAAATTAGTTCGTTGCTAAAGGATGTGAAATATTCAGCTATATTCATTAATGAAAAAGGAAATTCGATATTCATCTTTATGTATAACTGTAATAGCAATTAGTTTATGAATTTTCCTAAAACGTATACAATTAAAGAAATGTGTTTACATCCCAAACAATGGGGTTATGAAAATTTAATTACCTTTACTTTGAAATTACGGAATGTAGTAGAAAATGAAGCTTAAAATATAAATGGATGAATGACGCACCGAGTTTTAAAAGAGCCATGAAGATGACAAGTTCAGAATGACGCAAATCTAAATATAGTAAAATTAGTTATTGTTCTGAGCAGTTGAATGACGTAAAACATTATTATTGTTTTGTGCAGGGTTTACCGTAGAAAAAGTTTATATTGGTTTCATATTTCAAACAAGTCACGCAATAGTTAATTTACGCACTACGCGCTAAAGTAAATAGTCCCAAAGTATTAATGTTGCAAATTAAAATCCCGTGTTTAATTCATGGCCCACATGGATATTTTCTTTAAAAACACATTTTCGATAACGTGATAGTAAACTTGACGGGACGCTTTGATTCCACAATACAAAAAGACGGAAAGTTTGACAGATTGTGCAATATCACTGAGAATTCCCTCTAAGTTTTGAGAAACAATTCACTTATGGTTCTACCCATAGCCTGCACTAATTACGGGCGAAAGGGGTTTATGTGGCGTGTTAGCGATAATTTTAACATTGTATGTAAGACTTTTGATCTGCATCTTTCAATACGAGTGTGATTTCGGCAAGGAGAGCACTGAGTGGGTATTTTTTTGACTCATACTAGTAGTAGTAGTAGACTTTTTATGTAAGAAGTTAGTTAAATTGTACACCCACCCGAATTATCTCTACCTACCTAATGCCCCGAGAGGTAGGGAGTTCCGGGGAGATTACGGGCTACCCGGTAAGACCAGGCTACGACGGGCGTTCGGGTCAAGCCCTCTAAAGTCAAAGTCAAAGCCAAAGTTAAAATAATTAGTAGTAAAGTGGTATGATTATGAAATAGCATTATATTGAAAATTCGAAATCAGTTTTTATTAAACGAAAGAAACTCATTTAGATGAAGATAAACAGCTGTCCATGGCACAGTTCTTAACCAGCACATACGTAAGGTACGTTCGTAATAAATAAATTTAAACTATTTAAAAGTCATCTTAAGCAAACAGCTTAAGACGACTTTTCTCGTTACTTTTTATTCTCTGACCTAGTTTAGGCGTCACTCTTCCAAAAATTGTGCTTAGTAAAACCAAACGTGTAAACTGTTCCTAGCTTGTTGTTATTATTGATACAAAGATCGAACTAACATAAAAAGTTACTTCTGTTCTGGTGAATCCGAACCAACGACTTCACCAAACCGGGGCTACCGTTCTACCAGCTGAGCTACGGAACGATTCAGCAGAATTTCTCGATGTGCTTACTGCAGATCTTTGTTTTTAGGTTTAAACAGCTTTTTTGCCGTACCGCAAAGTGAAAAACCTGTGAAAGTTATTTTTCCAATTTAAGAAAGTTGTAACTGTAATATCCTTTAGAAACAAATAGACGCAAAAGTCTGTGCGGTCATTGATCTAAAAATAGTACTTACTTTTGGTATCAATGTTCATTTTTAATAGTAAAATAATTTATTTAATTTAAATAATTTACTTCTTAGTCCTTAATATAAGGTAGTAAATAAAAGGAACTAAATCCATGAAAGGCCCCTTTGAAGACGCAAGAAAAATCAGTTTTTCCATACAAAAACAAAACCAGCAATATGTGCTCAGAAAACAAATATGCAAAAGCAAACTGACTTATTTTTTGCGGTTTAAGAGTGGTCTTTATAACATACATTATTTGGTTTTACGTACAGTAACTAAATTTGTATTTAAAATAGTTAATTTCGTTTGTCATTATTTGGATACCTCCAATGAACAATACGCCAACTTAATTTATGGACTCGATCTGTTTTTATTTTGTTTTTTGTTTTTGTTTATTTTCACAAAATTCGTTTGTTTTTTCAATTTTGCTTTTTGGTTTGTTTATTTTTTTTTCGTAAAATTCGGGGAGCATAATATTAGTAAATAAATATGGCTGTTTACAAAAATAACAGAAAATGACCAACAAATTAAGCTGGCGTAGTGTTCATTGGATGAATCCTTTAGGAGGGATAATTTACAATCAAGTTTTGGATCTAGAGAATTATGTTAAACAATACCTGAGCTCCAAGTTGCATTGGATCCCTCGTGAGGATATCGCTAGACTTCCTGACGGCTCCGTAGACTAGTTCGACATCACGGTCCAGAATGTAGCAGCGGACGTGCTCCAGGATACAGCGCAGGTATGAAATTGTCACTGTTTGAACCTGTACAAACGAGAAAAAGGCGCTAGGAAATACCACTGTTGTATATCGCAATGACTGCAAAAAGGTCGGTGCATGAAAACTGGGTAGGCTGCTAAAGTGGGATGCTTTCTTTGTGGACATATAATTCTCTGTTACGTCCACGGAGTTATGTGTGGCGTGTTCTCGGCCAAATACTAACCTTTGTTTTATATTTCAAATGCAAAACTTTTCACTAATAAAATTCTGTTTGCTTTGTTAAAACCTCCCGTGACCAAAAGTCTCGCAACGTTTCTATTAAAACATAAGCTTAGTTAACCAAAGGGGAAATGCTTGCTAGCGTACTCAGCACAAAGCCTCAGGATATCGATGAAATTTTCTTCCATTTAACCTAAAGAGTTATAGGTCGAAAACGAACGAAAAACAGGTAAATAAAAGTATATTTTTTTGTCTATTTTCGTTCTTCTTCATTAAGTATATGCATTTAGTGTATTATTTCTTATTATCATCATTCTTATAATCCATGAGAATATATTTAATTTTTTAACCTAATTAAATGTGGGGCAACGTCGTATTTTAATTATCTTTGATCACTTCTTTTATTGACTTTTTGTTGGTCCTCAAAACCGTAGATAAATATGTAAAAGTACGGGGACGGGGGCCTAATTTGTAATAAAATTGTGATGTTATAGTTTTAATGACGTTTGAATATTTGCCTATAATTAGACATATAATTGGTATGCTCTGTGTTGTTATAACTGCGTAGATATGCGTAAACATGCGTATTCCATTCAATTAATAGACCCTAAATAGAATAATTTTTCTTCAAATATTTAAAATTTATTATTAAGTATTTAATATTTTAAATTACTCAATTAATTTTAAAATACTATAATAAGATAGAGTTAAGTCCTTTATTTTACTTGGTTTTAAAAAAATGTTGATTACTTAAAAAACCAAGACTTTAATTTTTAATCGACTTCAAATATTAAAATTGTTGTCCTTCCAGTAAAATGAGCTTATTATACAACATCTTTTTGTAATAGAAGATCTTATCGATTAACTTAAATAATGAAAACGCACTTCAATATATGAACTTGCGACTGCCATAATTAATTTTACCAGATGGTTTCCTGTTGCTAATTGATCAAATTGATGAATGGCAATACAAATGTAAATGTTACTGCTGACAAAATATGGTAAAATCTTATTAATCAGAAGAGGTTTATTTAATGACGGCCTCGTGTGAAATTTTTATGATTTGTTTATTATTTCTCGGATTTCTAACTCTGCCACTCTGCATATTTGGATAGCATCTTAGGTGGGATAAACTAGACCGCGGCGTTTGCATGTACTATCATAAACAGGGAAGGGTGCTACCGTGTGTTAGTAAGCAGCTTTACGTTGCGACAACGCATTGCTCGTGTGGCACTCTGTGCATTGCAATCATAGCATTGCGACCGCCGCAATGCACTGACAGCGCCTGTGTCGCATCGCTTTTACGGCCACTGTGATAACCGCTAGGCCACCGAGGTCGTGATATACCTTTGCCCATAGTAAGATGCAAATTAGCTTGATTCGCCTTCAACCTAGACTTATGGATTCCAGACTTGAGAAGCGTCCTCCTAGTAATTACGAAGAAGCAGTATAAAATTTTAATGCATTTGAAGTTATTGAGTACAGTGACACCTTTTATACATACATAATCTGTATTGGTACAAGAAATGCGTAAGTAGTTTTGTACTTGTATTATGTACGGGTTAATAGTGACTTATTGAGACAGTGCGTATTCGAATAGAATGTACACTCTCGGACACATAATTCTAGCCACCTTGCATTTATTTTATTTTAATTTTATTTAATAGTTTATTGTACAGGAAAAATACAACAAGTCACAAAGAATACAACGAAAATTAAAACAAAAGGTTCTGCTAACTTGTAATAAAAATTTCTTCCTGCAGACCTAAATACAGGACACTATAACTAAAACAACGTGCACAACATACGTGCACAACATGACAAAAAAATCATATAATAATATTAAATTGTTATAAATTATATAAACACTTAGATAAATGTATATTTTATAATATAATACCTAAGATGTGGATGGAATAGTAGATAAATAATGCTCTTTAACTCTCACTTGACAAATAGCTAACGATTTACTTTCGTGAACAGTAATAGGTTCAATAGGGAACAGTAATAAATTGTATTATGTAAGGTACAAAAATATTGTCATCATCGTAAAAATAGGTTTCTCCAGTTAAAAAAGTTAAAATTATCAACAAGGATTTATGGGAATGACGTTTTGTATACCAGTTTCAACATTGTTTAAGCTTAGGCTATTTAATACTGAAAATACTAGGTGGTTCGAATTATATGTCATGGAGTGTACGATGGAATATCTTATTTTTCCAACTTGTTAATAAGAATGCCTTGGTAAAATGAAAACTATGATTAAAATCATAGAGTAATAAGATATAATGCATCATTTTAAAACCAACTTACAGCAGCAAGTAAGAAATCAAAATTGCAGACAGTCAGATCTTTTAGTTTACAGAAGTCTCCAGCCAGCAGTAGGTGGAGCCACGATTCTTCGACGTGTCTCTGTGTGAACGCAGCAGCTGTACGGGTGCCTGAGTGGAATGGCGTCGTGTCGAGGACGGCGTCATCGTCATCTACGCAACCTATGGTAGAAACACTTTGTTAACATTGTTAGACTGTGCCTATTAGGCTCAACTTATGCACGTATTGCGGCGCCAAGGAATGGAAGCGAATTTTTGTAACGAAATGCACGACAATTCCGCGGAAGATTTTGGCTCGTATCTAGTTTGTACGTTACACAATTGACCATAAGTTCTTTATGCGACGTACAATATCGTTACAAAAATTCGCTTCCATTCAGTTCCGCCGCAATATAAATTGAGCTTTACGTACCAAAGCGGTGAGAACAAGCGATATATTTTTACAGCCAATAATAATCCTTATTTTGACTTAACGTAGTGGAAATATCAGAATAACGAAGTGCTATTGGCTAATGTAACATACTATTCTCCAATCGGCTTTGATAGATAATCCGTTCTTAAGGTATTTGATACGACGTTACACAAGAGTTATGTCGGCAGAGTGTTTTACTAAGTTCGTCGACAAAGGCATACATTAAATTATTAAGCGTACATTGTTGTGTTTGCAAATTAATTTAAAATTCATGTTGAGGAGGGATTAAATCATCATAAAATTATAAAACTGTAATAGGTTTTCGTTTAAAAAATGACTCAACTGTATTCATAACAAAAAATAGTAATATTAATTTTGTTAAATATAACGATGTTGTTGCTGTCATGATAACCAATTATTTTTACGAAATTACTCCACCAGTTTGTTATAATTATTAATCAATTCATTAGTCCATTCATTCATTCATTCATAATTGTTAATACAAAAATCAAACTCAAAGAAAAATTGGTTCTTTGTCAGTCACGGTATGGTGAGATTGTTGGTTCAGCCGGAACGAAAGAATTTTTCTTTGTGTTCTATCTTTGTATTAATGTTTATAAAAAAACATAGATTTCTTGTTTAGAAAAATGAGGGGATAGTAAAAGAAAAGCTGTCTTCAAATAGCCTATATTTGTTCTTTTATTGGGTGCTATCTACTTCCGGCCTTTAATGCATTTAGATACTTTGAGCGATTGAATAAAGAGAGGTGGACTTAAAGCTTCCATGACTTGAGCTACGTAAAGTAGAATACGTGATGGATAGCCGATCAGCAAGCTAGGAAAATCGCCAGCTAGATTGATGGGCTAACAGCGCATAAGGCCTGTTCATCAAATTATTATAATGTAATTGTAATGTTACATTTGTTCATATTTACTTTCTCGAATGTGTTATTTTTTATATTACTTAAACCATTTCAATTATTTCCACACACATTAATTACATAATAAATTAAATAAGACCATTTTAAAAATATATAAAATAAAATACGCGTGTATCGGGGAGAGTTTCCGTATTTACTGAGCGGCAGAAGTCAATCAGAACTGGTTGTATGGTAAGTTAATACTCTTCAAGGACCGCAAACATAGCCTTCTCACTGATATTGTACCAATATGCATTTGTCTTTTTCAAGTGCTTAAGTAAAGTGCAATTAGTTTCTAAGTATCCAACTTTTGTCCAGCTCTTGACCCTTCATCAACCCATTTATACATCCCCCTGCTGGGCACGGGTCTTTTATCAGGCTACGGTTTAGGATAGGTTAAAAAGAACACAAGTAAAAAGAACCACGCTGGCCCAATGCGAGTCGGGTACTGTTCATACACTTTCACTTGTTTTCCTAAGATTGATGACCCTTAATCGACGTGCAGGCTTAACCGTGATGTTTTCTTTCACCGAAAAGCTCATGGTAAACTGCAAATTAAATTTCGTACATAAATTCCATAAATCTCAGAGATGTGAGTCTGGATTTGAAACCACGCCCACGACCTGCTTGAGACGCAGTAGGTCAAACCATACTATTCTGTCGACCAATATTATTTGTTATAATTATTCTTTATTATCCCTTTTAAATGACATCTCATTTAATTATTCAGTGTAACGTAATATACTCAAGCTATGAGTAAGTCTAAATAAAACAATCTTTTCTTGAATAAAAACACGAGAAAGTCTGCGCAAAAAAACGTCATGATGTATTAGTTAGTGGATTTCTGAAGTCGAAATAAATTTTCTTCTACATTATATTGGTGATTTGAATGTTATTCAAGTTTGCCTTTCTGTTCCATTAAATCATATTTTATAAGTTTCAAAAGTTGTACGAGTTTAAACAAGTCATGTAAGTGCTGATTATTATTTTACCCTTTCCAAAAATCCTTTTTTTTATAAAGTAAATGTACTCGCTTTTAACTACTACCTACCTAGCCCGGGAGTAAAAATAGGGCGTACGATGAACGAGCTCGCTCAGAGATGCTTATTCAGTCGCACCTTAAACATATTTGGGTTGTAAGTGCTCGGAGCAGGGAATTCCATTTCTGATCTGAACGAATCATAGAAAATGACGAAAAGCGCTTAGTACACCTAAAGGGAAATCATTGCAGCACTCATGGGGACATTCACCGAAGTATATTCTGTAGGAAACCGACAGACAGGCAACTTTGCGTCGGCGGGCAAAGCTATGAAGCTTAGATTCGAGCTTATCGTCGCTAATAAGTTTTTTACAATAAACATTTACACTTACCAAGTTCCTGTGCCTCAGATGTATCAGTGTCGTCAGTATCTTGAAGGAAGTTGGCGAAGTGAAGCGCTGCGAGGTCGGAATGCGCGTCGCGTAACGCGCTTTGCACACGCACATAACGTCGACGCGCGCGCGCAGTAGCCGCGGCTGCACGCCAGCGCCATGTGCTCCGACCAGATACTGTGTTCTCGCTTATTAGCGATTCTGATCAAAGAAAATAATTTTTTTGTGACACCATGTGACGGGACGAACAAGTCGTGCATCCATAGTAGTTGCAATGTCACTAAGAGCTTTAAATAATAAAGATCTTAGGGGTACTGTCACCGTGTACGTCACTGAGACATAAGTTGACAGGTCTCATGTGCCTGTAATTTCACCACCCTTACCCGTCAAAACGGGGATGCAGTTATGCTCACATTACTGCTTTGCTGCAGAAACAGGTAAGGTGGCAGTACGTCTATGGACGAACTCATCGTCCAGGAGCAGTAGTCTGCTACTAAAACTTTTCTACTCTAATACGTGTGAAAAAATAAGATAGTCTTACATAAAAGAAAATTCTATTATTACTATCGAATTGTATCCATCAATACTTTGGATAAGTAATCGTATTAGGGGTGGGCTACACTTGTTCAAACGCATCCAAATTTTGGTTGTCGATATCACCTACACTTTTACGCGCCTCATCGCGTCTTACCTACTCGTCAGCATCAGCGTCAAATTGTCGCAGAGTTAGCATATTTCAGAGTACTGGAGAGTGCAGAAATAACTCGACCCCAATGATTTAAGAACACAGTTTATAAAAACACGAAATATATATTTTTGAAGAAGACGCTGCTGTGTTATTAGCGACTATTTTAGAAGTAGAAAACAAAGAAAGAAAAATATACTCAAAATCTTTTCTAAAAAGAAGTACCAGGTTAATCCGTTTTCGGAAGCGCAGAAGACTTCTTGGGCAGTACGTGACGCAATTTCACGGTTGCGTTTCTTATCGAGCTAGATTTCAAGATTTGTTTGAAATTACTCTTAATTGAGTGCTATTAACTAAAGCATATTTTTAAACAAGATTTCTAGTTTGTTTTAATCAATTTATCTAAGATTTATACATAGCAGCCAAGTTGAGAAAAAAAAATATTTTAAAAATTGTATAAATGTATTGCAATGGCGTATGTCAGCTAGGCTGGCTTCATAGTCAAAAAAGGTTTTAAGTTTGTTTTTTCTATAAATTTAGGGTTACGTAAACAACAACTATACAATCTTCTAATGTTGAATCCACTCTAGTTTAATAGTATAGGTATTGACATCGGTGAAAAGAAAAAAAAAACAATTGGCTCTATTCACAAAAATAATTAAACATAATATTAATATGGTAATGAATATATTACAATGTTGTAAAGTCAGGCCGGTGCTGAAGTGTGCTGGTGAAACTCCATTTAAAACACCCTTCTAGTATAAACGTGCCGGTGATACGTGCTGACAAGTGTGATCCAACCCTTAAATGTGATCCCCTGTGTCCTTTTTAATTTCCTATATGGCAAGTTAATATCGTTCAAGAACCGCAAACATAACATTCTCACTAATATTGTACCAATATGCTTCTGTCTCGTTCAAGTGCTTAAATAAAGTACAATTAGTTTCTAAGCGATCAACTTTCCTTTTTATCGACACTAAGTTATATTTTGTTAACACTGTCCGCAACCTCTAACTTGTAATTTATAAGAATACTTTGAAATTAATTTTTAAGATAACAAATAAAATGCTTTCTACAAAATGAATGAAAATGATTGATCATTTTGCGTAAAAGGAATTTACATTCGGGGAATTCAAATCCCCGTGCTCTTCAAAATAAACGACGTCGATCGAAAATTAATTCTTTTATTAAAACGATGACAGACGAGAAATACTAACTAGATATCACGGGAATTAATTTCTAAAAGAAATATTAAGACATATTTATAAAGTTCGTTTCTTTGTACTTGGCTGTTTATAAAAATAGGGTAATATTATAATTAGTATTACCTACCTACATAATAATACTACATATAAGATCCGTCAATGTGTAGCTTGATGAGCTGCCGTCTGTAGATAAAGAAATTTTTGAACTTACTCATCATATACTTGACGACGCACAGAGTGGAGAAATTGAAGTTCGCGTCCTTAAGCGTGATGACAGCATCACTGTTAGTCGTCGGCATCAAGAGCTCCAGAAGCTCCAGCTCTGTCAGACCGAACTCCGAACAAGTTATGTAACCTGAATAAATAAAAGTAAACTAAGTTTTTTTGTTAAACAGGTGATAAGGCAGTTTGGTATCAGTTATTTATTGACAATCATGACATTGTCATGGCATAATGATAATGATGGTCTAATATTTTTCATGAAAATACTACTATAACACTAGTTTCTTATTATTATTAATATAAATATGTATACAACACAAACAATAAGTTTCCCACAGTTGCGCTGACGGTGAAAAAAGCCCTTTAAATATTTAGTAAATATTATAATTTAGTTAATATATTGAATATCCTAGTACAAAGATCTGAAACAAACACATAAAGAAATTCGTCTGCTGACTCAGTCTGTAGCTCAGCTCAAAAGCGGCTGCAACAGACACTGGTTCGAATCAGTCACATCAAGGGAATTTTTCTTTGTTATCGATTTTTGCATCATTAATAAAACAATTATATGTATATTTGATCTAACAATTTTCCCCGATAACCCCTAACTTCAGGATTACCTCTAGACCTAAGACAGTTCGTAGTTCAACAAAAAGAATTACCTGCTAATTTACTAAAAGCTTTAATACCGAAGACGGCTTCTAAGTTATCAAAGGCACCATCAATAAAGTCTCCATAGCTATCATTCTCTGGAGTTTCTTCAATCGCATCCAACAAATAGTAGCAATTCTGCGTCTTGAACTTTTCCTTCTGTGCAGGAGTCAGTTGTAATTGCTCTAAGGATACCGCACTTGTACATACTAAGAACACGTTTCGAGGCAAAGACATCGGTAGCCAAGACAACCCTGTCACAATATCACACTCCAACGGATTCACTCTATGCACATTGTCAATAAATATTAACAAAATCTCATTCTCCATTTCCTCACAACGTTTCAACAAACTCTGAAACCAATTGTTTATATACAAAGGGTCGAAACTTGCATCTTTTGGCAAGTACCCCTCCGGAATGTTCAAAATTATCGATATCTGTTGGCACATGACTCGTAACAACTCCAAGTTATACGCTGATCTCGGTGTTGAGGCAGAGAATCGTATTATTCTCAGTACTGGTTTAGGAAAAATATTTTCGCATTTATAGTACAAGTGTGTCAATAAAGTCGTCTTTCCTGAAGCATCAGGTCCATATATTAACACAGGGGGATGACGTGTCCGATTTTCATAGTTCTCCGCAGCTTTATTTAGTACAATTTTAGCTGTGTCCTCTAGTTGCTTAACAGTAACCTTATGTAGACGATTATGCTCTATACATATCCTAAGATGAGTGATGTGTTCCAGAAACACTTCCTGAAAATAATAAGCAGAGTATGAGTGTTGTTTTATGCTTGACTAATTTTAATTTGTTATTGCATTGATGAACCAAAATAAATTCATAATTCAATAAGAATTTTTGTTTAGGTAGTGAGTTTCAAACAATTTAATTTGCAAAATTTTGTCGTTTTACACCATTACGATTAAACATGTTGGATCAAAATGATTAGGTAACTTGTAAAAATGCTTAAAATTATTGCTGTTGCTTTAGGTACGCAACAAGTCTTGCAACAGGTGGCAGGGAAAAAAAGGTGAAATAATTAATACCATAAAGTTGTTCCCATTGAATGAAAGACTTTTTAACCTATACAGAGCTTAAAGCCTCCATGTCAGAATAAGGAGCTTAAGTTTTAAAGAAATGTGTTCCTTTTGAAATCAGTCACTAGTCACCAGAAGCTTAGTTTTAGTTGGAGAGAATAGTCCTACCAGACTACGTTATGCATTTTGTAGTTTGTTGTTATATATGTAATATAATATTATAATGTTAGTTTTTAAAACGTGTCTACTGAATATTATTGAGTTTGATTTTTTACATGCCTCCATATACAGATTCCTTATTTCAATCGATCGTCACGACAATCGTATCGATCCGTTGCTACTCCCAGCATACACTGTCTATCGATTCGTCGTTTTGATCAATGTGATACGACGTATTGTAAAGACTAATCTTCCCGTATATGGGAGCCTTAAAGTTTATAATACGAAGCGCGCTAGACAATCTACTTTACAATTGCTGGTAGATCTTGGCCTTTTCTACCTGTACAGTCTTTTTCCTTCCCTTTCCCTGGTCAGGCTCGGTGCTTAGGCTGTCGTCAACCAATGAGCTGACAACCGCTTGTACTTTCTCCCTGAACGGAGCCAGTTTTTCCTCATTTTCTGATCCTCCGTCCGTCCTTGAAGAATCTGCTGATGAAGGTCTAGGGAGATCAAACGAAATTCATAAGAGGCCAATCTTTTGATGGTTTAACAGTGGCGGTCAATAATTCAAGAATGTTCTAGAATTTGATGAGGCAATTTTTCTAATCTTATTTAATGTTTAAAAAAAGTTGTCCAATTCATACCTCGTTGATTTGTAAAACACAGTTGTATAGAAGTTGACATGTAACAAAATAAGTACAATTCTACTGTATCTGGCCAAACATGAAGCATACAAACATATTGAAGGTATAATGTACATTTATTGCCTTTCATTAGACTAAATGACTTCATATTTATCTATGATATTAATGGTAACGGATGAGTGACACTGGTAAACATTAAAAAAATTACAGGAGCTCTATAAATAGGTAGAGTGAATTAATTTATATCTCTATCAGAATCAATTATCTTTCAAAGTCTTAAAGTTAAATTTAATGATTTTAAGGTAAATTTAATGCGATGATAGATGCTTGAATTGGTACAGATACCTCTAATATCTTAAATAAACAATGTAGCCTTTCAAAAACTGTGAACCGTAAATTCTAAAGCCGATAGCCACATTATTGAATAGGCATTTGTATACTTATCTAATGACTTTTTGTTTGTTAAATAACTTTGAAGTCCCATTTTTGTTTAGGTGATATAAAAAAACCGTAAAAATGATTATTATTGATCAGTGCTTGTTTAGTGAATCCTGCAAATGTTTATAAAGCTAAGTTTGAATATAAAAATCTGGGTTTTTTATGATTTTCAGTGACTGTACGAAGAAGTCGTGCATATAGTGGTAAGCGACATGCTTGTTCATAGAAGTTGCAGTGTCAGTCGGAGGAGCTTTAAATTGAAAAGATCTGAGGGGCACTGCCACTGCGCCCGTTATCCAGAGACATGCGTTGACATGTCCCATGTGCCTGTAATTTCACCAGTACTCTTACCCTTCAAAACCGGAAACCAGTAATCCTTACACTGCTTGGTGGCAGAAATAGGTAAGGTGGGCAGAACTTCCCTCGACGAACTCTTTCACAAGGAGTTCTTCAGCTACTATAACTGTTTCTATACGAATATCTGCAACTAAAACTATCCAAATGAAATGCAAATATGAATACTTCTTGAAATAACTTACTCTAATTGAATGATGTGACTATCAGGTAAAGCATCTTCGAGCTTCTTCTTCAGTTGTATCAGCCTTGCGCGAGCGAGTGTAGTAAGTTTTGTGTCATCAGGTTCCAATTCGGGCATATCTCGGTACACTACTATGACGCCTTTTGGATGGTTACCATTTGATAGTAATTCTGAAATAAAGAACTTATATCAAATGTCATCACATTACGTAACACGACACCTACATTTTGTGCTTATAGTGCAAACGATCATTTTAGTAATACATTTCAGAGTAGCGTAACACTACGAGGGCACATATTAAAACCATAGTGTAATAAAACAAATATGGTAAGTCCATACAAACGTAGCAGCGTGGCTTGTATATGTGCGCATCCGACTCGCGCCGTGTACGGACGCACACATTCGCATAATCTCGCCATGCATTCGCGTTGCTTAGAGCTGGGCATCCCACGCGCTTCTTATTATTATGCGAAAGCGTGCGTCCAGCACGCTTGTACGTGCATACGTACAAGCCACGCTGCTACGTTTGTATGGAGTTATCATACTTGTCTTACTATACTGTGTTAAGACTAAGCCCTACAAAGAATTGATTTCGTAGTAGTTCAATTATTTCTTTAAATAAAAGGACTCGCTACTGTTGGGAATTTTGAATAGTTTTATTGCAACATCAATGTAAACTAATTAATATTGCCGTGTGGCAACTCTCTCTTCTCTCGGTGTCGCAATAAAGTGGTGTTCTCTGTGCAATACAAGTTTTTATTTAAAATACACCGAAGTTTCCTCCAGCGTCCTATGGCATTTAAGGCAGCTGCCAACAGCTACATCTCTAGTTTCAGTTATATACCACTTGGGACTTCATGCGGTTTAGGATTAAATATAAAATATTTTTTCAGGCTATACTGGCAATCCTAATGTTACAAGATTATTTCAAAAACAGGTGACCGCAATCATGTTGCCTTTGCATGCACACGAACGACGCGTTACTATTCAGCCTTAAATGTAACAATACCATTGTAATTAAGTAGTATTACCATTATACTAACAGATAAATGCACTAAAGCTCTTCTTAGGAGACCGAAATGTCTTTCTAAATATGAAAATGGAATTGATAGTAATAAGAATCCAGAGGGTTCAGATAAGTATGCACATTATTCATATCTACTTCAGTAATTCCGATTTTTCTTATGAATTTTTCATACATTGTTGTGATGGAATAAAAAGGAGATTTTTTAAATCGTGTGATTCATAAGCAGTATATATATAAAACAATTCCGTTTATTTGAGGCCAGTCTAGGCTGCAAAATATTAAAAAGATCGATAATATTTAATAAATACCTAATATCAAATGTAAATATAAGCCCAAATGAGTTTCAATTTATAAATTTAATTAACTAATACCGCATTAATAACGTAAAATTTGACTGATGTAGACTATGGCAGGTTTAATTTATGTGAACGGTTCAATAAATTTCATATTGAAAATTATTTTGGTTAAGTTGTTTTGTCTGAAAGCCGCGAAATTTATGCCCCCAATATTCCCAATGCGAGTTTTTGAGTAATAGGATTTGTGCTGCATAGTGGTTGATTGGTATATTAGAACAGAAAGACAAATGATATTTGTTTGTTTGAAAAAAGTTTGTTTGTTTTTTTTTTCAAACAAAAAATATACGCGATTTTTGTTACAAAAAACAAATATACCTACGTGATTTAAATCCGGAAAGATAGTTTCATTTCCTATTTAGTTACATTTATTAATAAATTAGATTCCGATAGTAAGCAACTGAGGGAACATTTTCACATTATTGTATCATACTCAACTGCCTCGGTGGTCGAGCGGTTACCATGCCATTCTTCTACGCAGAGTTCGTTTCCCGGGCTTGGAGAAATATTTGTATGGCCTACATTTAATTATTTCGTGAGTTTGGGTGTAAGTTGTGTCTAAATTTCAATGGTCTATGTGTGTGTTATGAGTAAATAAATAATGCACACACCTATGGGCATGCATCACGGGTGCCATGGACACACCGACTATCACAAATTACACCCAAGCTCAGGAGACAAATAAATGTAGGCCATACAAATATTTCCTCCTGCCCCGGATTCGAACCCGGGACGACTTGCCCGAGAGCGACACAAAGCGCGAGATCTCTATGCGAGAATAGCAGTATTTATTTATTTAGGACAACTTACGAAACATACACAAACAATTGGTCAAAACAGTAGATATTGTGGTCGGAGGTTTTGTGTTGTTTCATTTACAAGTTGCCACGGCATGCGTTTATACATAGGAGTATTAAAAAAAAAGAAAACTTAAAGTAATTGACTACTTACAAATTAACTGTTTAAGGTTAATGTTACATCTGTATATTGGTTACTCTACGTGTCAACTAGTTAGGTACAATTTTGTTATTACAACTTTAATTATTATTACAAAAGTATCTCGTGCTTTTTGTCGCTCTCGCGCTAGTCACACCTTGTCGTGTTAGCCCTACAGCATGATAACTGTTCAGTCACGGAGGCAGTTTGTGAGTGCGTTATTATTATTTTTTTATTATTATTGTAATACCCATTAACCACCACGTTTCAACGAGTTTGATTTAGGTCTCTTCCAATGAGACATTTTAACACAATCTTCTCTACAACAGACCACCTCGGTGGCCCCACGGCTTATAATGTGGACGCTGGATGAGGAGGTCCCGGGTTCCTTTCCCGGTAAGATCAAATTGGAAAATTTACTTTACAAAATTAGTTCTGACCTCGGTGTTCAGGGAAGTGCCCAAGAGAGAATTCCATTGCCAAATACTCCTGCTAATTCAGAATACAACGACTGTAAAATACTGTTTAGTATACATATATTTGTATGCACCAACAACGCCACTATTTATTATCGCTCTTTTTATGATTTCCGAGTTTCAAACTTTGTATGAGCAACTATCTTGCTTTGAGAAGACTTAACCACTATTGCGCAATAAAATCGCGACGCATTGTGATCAAGAAAAGTAAAACATTATAGTTAATCACTAACGCGAGGGTACCCTACCCGGTCTTTGTGACAGATTTGGGTATGTACTGTAGTCTAGGCTCTACTCTATGAGTAGAATCACTGGCTGAATGAATAGTTTTGTAATTAGAATGTGTTATAAAAAAGGAAGTAAGAAAAGAATGGAGCATCTTGACATATCGAAATGTAACCCAACACCGAAAGTATGTGAAAGAATACAATAAAGTATGTTTTGAAGATTATTCCAGTTTAAATTCATAAAAGTACCTCTCGCTACGCATCCTAAGCTACGCCGCAGTTACAGTACCTAGTACAGAATTGAGTTTACTTTACACGTCTACTCCCCGCTGTATACACGGACCATAGTTGAGTTCCTTACTTACGTTACTTACTTTTGTTAGGATAATATTTATTTCCTTATTTTGATAGAAAGACGTATTTTTCATTGATGCATCTTGCAGGGCGAAATTTAAATTTTTAAACCTCGATGCTTTAGCAATAGTAAAAAAGGGGAGTTATAACTTTGGAGCCTTTGGCAGTGTATCTGAGTGTTTGTGTGTCATTTAAGGCATTGTAGCAGTTTTTTTGTTTAGAAAAACGTAAAGCAAAAACAATTCCAATTCGGGTTTTTTTTATTTGAACGCTAATTTAATTAAGACAGCTAATTTATTAGCTACTTTATTAGATATGTTTTTTTAACTAATATCAAGTGACGGGACGAACAAGTCGTGCGTCTGGTGGTAAGCGACATGTCTATTCATAACAGTTGCAGTGCCACTCAGAACTCTAAATCGCAAAGATCTTAAGGGACTTCTCAACGAGTCGTTTTGCTTATAAATAGTGACTTTACCCTCTGACTTATTGGAGTACACTGTTTTTAAAATTTAAGGTTTATTAATTGTTAGTACCTTATCAAATTCTCAGTAAAGTATAATTTTAAATTTAATTTTAAGAATTTGTACACAAAGTTATGAAATGAACATTTCATAATATTCTGTGCGCAAACAATAAATGACCCGAAAAGTCCTCATATAAAGTGAAAGCATAGTACGAACATCTTTGCTCCAGTAATGCAAATTTTGTAACATAAACAGCACGAAAAATTTTATGTAAGAAATACCTTCCGTGACGAAAGCGTTCAAGAGAGTAATCAGGAAAAATCTACATGATAGCTCATTTGATTTAACGAATAAAGATTTAAAATTGGAAGCAGAAAAATAATATTAAATTACGATATTGCTCGTACTTACTGAAGGTTCTATCACGCGCTCGAACGTGCACAATAATGATTTTAAATGAAGCGAGCTATATCCAATAGCGTTGGTGTCGTTACGACGACGCTAATAGCATTGTGAACTCTTTTCAACCGTTTCAATCGATTTACCGAACAAATTGAAAAATAACAGGGTCTCTTCAACTGGGAATATTTCGGAGGTAAGTTAGTTATAATACGATAGAGGTATATTCTTCGAAGAACGTAAACCGACTGTGTTTCCTTTTAATACAAAGTAAATTGATCAACAGATATGTAAAAATAATATCTGTGTTGAGATAAATATTATGGACGCCTAAGCGGCTTAGTAAAAGCTAAGACAGAAACACATTATGTTTAGAAACTAGTTTTATTTTTTTTGTAGAGTAAAGACGATGCTGCTCAATCGTAAGGCAGATTCGCTTGAGAAGAATGAGTAAAAATCTCTATGGGTTGCTCTTTGTAAATAAACATTTGCACACAGTACTATTTTTCTTAACATAAATTACATTTTCATACATGTACTGTGACGCTAGTATAGAAGAGCTTACTTCATTTAGGAATCTAGAAACATTTGTCAATATATAATACGCTTACAGCAATACAAAAAATGTGTACAATTACAGGAAAACGAAAGCTGTATGTCGCTGTACCCTTACAGCGATTTGAAAACGCCTTTCATGCAAACCCTACTGCCGTTGCGGGAAACTCTTTCGACATGGATACACGAAAAATTTCAAACCCGCATTATAATAATAATATATGAAACCAACTGTTCCATTCTTGTAAAAACAAAGATAAGTTTTTATAATCCGTAACAAGGGAGAAATAACGATCTTTTTATTAAGCTACTATGACGAAACTTTAGTGAACAGGTAATCTTTTTTTAAATGATAAATAGATGAATGTATCATTACTATGTTTTAACACGCGCTGAAGACTTGGAAGTATTTTATTGGAAAAATGTGATACGAAAACTATAACAATAAAGTAATGGGTTTTGGAAATGAAAGTATTTTTCGGATCTAAATCGCGTATGTTTGTTTTTTTCAAACAAACCAACGTTTCGCGTCCTTTACAGGTCTCACGGTCACGGTTGACTGAGATGGTAGTCTTCAAGTAGTTATGTCTCTAATACTGCTGTCCACTAACCAAAACGCGGCTAACAAAATCGTGAAATAACCGTTTTAAATATCAAAAAATAGATTACAAAATTCTCTTTAAAAACAGTTAAAATTAGTTAATGTGTTTGACTTATCGGAACTCACCCTAATGAAGCATAGCTGAAATATCATCTAACAATTTCATTATTCTAAAACTGGGTTATAGTTTTTAATGATATCTCAAAAAATTGTTATGTCACTTAGCCGCTATTTTAGTTAACGGACGGCAGAACATTATTACAAACCACCATATTTTTCTATATAGTTTCAAAAATTATTAATCCTTCAAAAATAAGGTAAGTATTGAAATACTTACCTTATTTTTAATTTACCAAGGAACATTGCAATTTAAGCCACGTAATTATGTTTTGCAACATATTTTATTTTAACATTACGAATTTTTACTGATTTCAATTTATTAATTATAACGAATTAGAAATAAATTAACACATATTAATAAGTAGTTTTGCAGGTTTATGTTTGGCTGAGATTTCTCATCAGAGGAAATACTGGATCTCAAACTGGTGTTTTTTTATGACACCAAGTGGCGGGACGAACAAATCGAGCGTCTGGTGTTAAAAGACACGCCTGTCCTTAGCAGTCACTCTGAGACATAAGTTGGCATGCGTCTGTAATTTCACCAGCACCCTTACCTGAGTTTGGTACTGAGAACCTATCTTCCCTGTTGAAATTAGGATGTTTTTTAATTTCACTTGGCTTGTTTGTCGAACTTAATTGAATGTTTGGTTTATTCATGATAATGTTCGCAGACTGCAAACTGTTTTACTTTTTGAATGGGTGTTATCCGTTCGTTTTCACAGTCATTATCAGTGTTAACATAAACAGGGATAGCCTCCTTTTTATAGCGCAGGTATCTTTCGAGGCTGTTTAATTTGGTTTATCCATGAAAGTTGCAGGTGCACCTCAGATCCTGAGTGGCACTGCGTCCAGTGCGTCCGTCACCCTGAGACATAACTTGACAAGTCCCATGTGTCTAATTACACCAGCACCTTTTTACCCTTCGAAACCGGAACAAAATTTGTTGTTTATTGTGATAGTAATATTGTTATATGTAAAACAAGACTCTTGTATAATTACAATACTAACCATATAAGTAATTATATAAGTAACTGCCTCCGTGGCCGAACGGTTACCATGCCGGAGTTTGGGCGTAATTTGTGGTTGTCTATGTGTGTGTCCATGGCACCCTCGACACAGGATTTCCCTAGTGCGGGGCTATGTTGAGTGTGTGCGTTATTATTATTATTATTATTAAAATTATAATTATAAGCTATGTGGAAGAGGTAATTGAAAAGAAAAGAAAATAGAAATTAAATAAAAAAGAACAGATATATAGATTGATGACGTTGATTGTGAGTATTCTGTGTGTTGTCCACGATATTTGGTTATTCTGGCAATAATTGTGTTTCGTTATAGTTATTGCGTGCTACAAATATTTATATCTTTTTCCTTATTATCTTATCAGAGTAACGATGTTGTTATCGTCATTGACGACCTCGATGGCTCAACAGTTTGCACAGTGGGTGTTTGATCAGAAGGTCCTGGGTTCGATTCCATGTAGAACCAATTAGGAAATGAACTTTTCTAAAGTGGTTTTGGTCTGGGTGTTCTGGTTAGCAGTGGCAAGGTGTCCATAAAACTCGGTTCCCACCGGCTTGCCTAAAATTATCCACGAATTATCAAATATCATAAATATTTTAAAGTAATTTAATACATTTTGTGCTTTATTTTACGTATAGAATAATTAACTAGTGAAATAAAGTGTACTAGTTTCTTAATAATAAATTTATTAAGGCATGTGTTTTTTGTTTTGCTCCGACTTCACTAAAGACAATTTTCACGCCTCGCTACTGCTGTGCTGAATTTCGTAGTTGTAGTAGTTGTGCTCCGTAGTAGATGAACAAATTTGGTAATAATATTTCCTCCGTTTTGGTCTGGGTGTTCAGGGCATCAGAAACCAGACTCCATCCAGAGAATTCTCTAGTTTGAGACCAGATAATAAGTGTAGTTGTCTGATACGCTCATTCGTTTGATAAGAAAGGTTCCTTACCTAATGCCAATTCGCACTGATGCTCAACAGGACTCTTCAGCAATGAGCTGACGTTGGCATTGACTTGAAGTGCTTCAGTAGCCAACGCGTTGAACGCTTTCTGGACTTCGGACAATCGACTGCGTTGGTCTTTTCGCTCCACGAGATCGTTGTACCTATTTCGAAAAATAGCCATTGAAAACAGGTTTAGTATCAATTTATAACATTAGATATTGCAGAAAAAGTTATAGATATTATTATCTATGTATTTTCTATCTATTTTAACGGTAATGTGTATAATTCAGAGATTGTATACAAACCGGGCTTCTTTACGCAATAAATAATGTGTTTTTAACTTTTATACACATTTCCTAAGCATTGTATACAATGACTTTTTTTATGATACGTAGTGGTAAGCGTCACGCCTGTCCACAACAGTTGCAGTGCCGCTCAAAGGGCACTACCACTGCACCCGTCACCCTGAGACGTAAGTTGACAAGCCTCATAATTTCACCAGCACCTTTGCCGTTCAAAACCGGAACGCAGTAATGCTCGCATTACTGCTTGGTGGCAGTACTACCTTAGACGAACTCTTTCACAAGGAGCTCTACTGTTACTAAAATAAATATATTACTACATTATATACAATACCTAGGTGCTGTTAGAACGTCGGCCATAGATTTGGCAAAGTATTTAACGAAAGACAAAAAATCAAATTAGTCATTTCTGTTTGTGTTTCTAACTGGTTCGAGTCCCTTCTGTGGATTTAGGTTACGTAGTATATAGGTATATGAAAAAGCTGCCAGAACTTAATTTGTTTGCGTTATTTATTTAATTACATTTTTTTATTGTTTGTTATGGTTTTTTGAACAAAAGCTGTATATTCAATGATATACTTTAAACAAAGAAAAACTTATGTTCTTAAATTTAATGGATGCTTGATTCCATTAAGTTGAGTTTAAATTTTTATAGTTAGTAAAAGCAATATTGGATTTACTTTCAGATATCACATAATCACCTACATAGAGCACACTATAAGTTTCCGGAACTGGCCACTTACATAAACAATATTTAAAAAGTAATTAACAACAACAACATTTGAAAATGGAACTCTTTGGCTGTAGAATACAGTTTGTTTTATCTGTCTGTCACTTGTTTTTACATTATGGCGTCATTTTAGAAATTGGTTGCCTACATCACCATGGATTTAACTCGTGACAATTTTCGTAGTATGATTTTCTACGACTTTAAGTGTAATTTGACAACTCAGCGGAGCTTCGCTCGGCTTCAAACTGCTTTTGGCGATGAAGCACCATGCAAGACGACTATTTATAGCTGGTTTGCAGAATTCCAACGCGGTCCTGTGAATCTCAGTGACGAATTTCGTGATGGTCGCCCGTCCACTGCTGTGAACAACAAAAACATCGATGCTGCGCGCCTTATGTCAAAACAGACAGGCATGTGACATACCATGAGATTCGGGCATCTTTAGGCATAGGCATGAGTCAAATACAATCAATACTACACAAACATTTGGGTGTGAAAAAGCTGTGCTCTCGGTGGATCCCAAAGAGTTTGACTGAGGCTCAAACAACGGATCGCGTCACTTGGTGCAATGCCATGCTTACCAGATTCAACAAAGGGGCGTCAAATTTGGTGTGGGACGTAGTAACAGGTGACAAAACATGGATTTATAGTTACGATCCAAAAACAAAGCAGCAATCGAGCGTACGGGTCTATCGAGATGAGCCGAAACCAACCAAGATGGCGCGCGTGCAAAGTGCTTCTAAGCGAATGATTGCTTCTTTTTTTAATAAAACTGGACACGTGGCTACTGTTACTTGGAAGAATCGTTGTACCGGGAACAGTGATTGGTACACGACCATTTGTTTGCCGGAAGTTATTGACAAACTCCGTAAAAATAACCGTAAATGCCGTATTGTCTTGCACCACGATGATATCATTTCTCACTCGGTCAGACAGACAAATGAATTTTTGAAGGTGAACAACGTTGACCTTATGGGTCATCCTGTGTTCAGTCCCGACCTGGCACCGTGTGACTTTTATTTATTTCCAAAAAATTTTTACTGGTTTAACTGGTTCTTAACCAGTTACGCACGCGGTCAACGATTTCCATCACGTGAAGAGGCTGTCGAAGAGCATGAAAAATATGTTTCAGAGATTGTCACGGAGGAGTCGCATAAATGTTTTCAAAATTAGTTCATTCGTATGAAAAAGTAACGCTAACGGAGAATATTTTGAGAAACAATAACTTCATTTCTGACCATTTATAGTGTTTTTATCTTATTCATTAAACGGAAACGGAACCTTATAGTGCGCCACACGTAATATAACAGTTTTGCTTAATGTATTAAACAGTATGATAAGTTTGATTTGTGTAGCGTGCATAATTTGCGTATCAGTCTTAGTTGCTACTATAATATGATATTTTGTTCGAAAAAATACGGATTTTTCTTAAACAAATATCATTTGTAATTTAATTACCAATTCCAATGACCAATTCTTCTAATTACCTACTAATTCTTACAAGATTACTCCTATTGTCACATTTGGACGTGCATAAAATATTCTTCTTAACACACAAGCACTTTCTATTATCACATTGCTTTGTGCACCTACATTTACCAAATTTTATGCTTTGCCTAATGCACATTCGGCATTGTAAAGAACACCTAGGCAAAGTCTATAATAGAGATGTTATTTCACACATTACCTGACTGTTGTGTTGCGCGCATCTTAAGAGCCTCAGCACTATTCCTGTTAGTACTATGACAACCGATATTATACAAAATTCTCAGTGGTGCGCACGTAATAAATGATTATTCATCTCAAATGTTTGTTTCAACTTTATATTAATCTCGACATATTTTTGGCATTATATAGCATTTTTATTTTATTTTATTTTATTTTATTTTATTTTATAATATTTGGAAAAAACAGCCATGCTTAATATAATTCTAATCTTAACATACGTTTAACACTTTTTGGATAGGCCAATTACAAATATCCACTAAAATGATTGCATATAATGGACGTATAATATTAAGAATAAAACGGAAAAAAGGAAAAAAGGATGAATAAATTTAAATAAAATTAAATAATCCGGTTCTTGATAAAAGAAAAATAATTATACGATATAATAGTACATCAACACATATTAATAATAAAATAATACACACATAATACATTAAACATATACACACAACACTACTATGTATTTAATATAGACTACCTAGGTTTTGTACAGAATACCGCATTACATACATTGCCTAGAACATATATAAGATATCTTTGATTGTACAATGTATAACTACATAAAACTCCTGCGAAACATTGTACATATAACACTTAGTTTACTTCACGAAAGTTGTATTCTATATGAGTGCCAAAAATATTATTCTTTTAATAAAAATGTTTTTTCAGGTTACATAAATCGAGTGACAGGAAATTCTCGAGCCCTACACATTTTCGGTCCTCGCAATAAAAGATAACCTGTAGGACCCAAGCTGTACCGATATTTATGTGAAGGGAACCCTCCTTCCATTCCCTAAATTATTTATTTTACGAGCCCACTAAGTAATCGTATCCCGTTTCAGGAAAATCGTAAATTGTTATAGCTTAAATAGAAGCGTTGACAGATAGAGATCATAGAAAATACATCAAAATATTTATCGAAAAATAATTTGAGTCAAGGGAAGAACGATATATGTATATATAAAATTCAAATCAAAATACTGTATTTTTGAAACTCTAGAAGAAAGTTTAGTACGTATCTATTGATATTACTATGTAATCTATCTTACCACTTATCATCGCCATGTAAATGATAGGTGCCATCACCGTTGACGCGATAGCAAGCGCGGACGAGTGCCGCCTGCGCAGAATCCGACTTTACTAACTCTTCGAATGTTGATGATGGGATTTTGAATGGTAGCACAGGCTGGTAAGACGATGCTTCGCCGCCGATGAGGCACTAAGAAAAATTTAAACATTTTTTCTATATAGTGTACCATAAAGCTTGTAAAACAATGTTGCTATTGCTGACTCATAAGTATTCGTATGGAAAGTTATTAGTTAATATAAATTAATCAATTAAAAGGGGTCATGATGTACAGGTTGTCTCAAAAATGGTATAGATAAAATTCATTAAATGTATATATAGGTCATCTTCGAGAAATTTCAAGCCTCAAATTTAGGATGCGTTTTAAACTTTAATTCAAAACGAATATGGTTTCAGTACTACGACTTACGACTTTACCATCCTGAAATTATTATCTTGTTAGAATATCCTGAAATCCGCTACAAAGGCGCGAGCTGGCAACGTCGCATCCCCTCGGTCGACTGAGAATAATAATTGTGAATTGTACGTGGCAGACGCACGATATTTTGTTAATCGAGAGGCTGTTTTAGAGGGCAGCCTCTTCCCGTAACGATGTTTAGAAGTCGCAGTAGTCCGTAGTCAAGGACAATTTAAAACATGGTCAGATGCTAAAGCGTGAGGCATAATTTTGTACTACAGTGAAGTAGATTAAATTTTATTAAACACGTAAAAATTATCATTTGAATTTTTAGGAAATACAGTACGACATAATTAAGGTCAAACAAAAGAAAATACCATAATCGAATATTGTAGTAATAGAATATATTTGCTGCGAGAACACCACGGGCTTATAAAAGAAAAAGTTAAAGTAAAAATACTCGTAATTTCAACATTGAAAATGAATTGAATATTTTTAACTTACAAATTCAATTTTAACAAAGCAAACTCAATCAAATTCTTTTATAGAAATGTTGAACGGATTTCCAGTAACACTGAAATTTAAATGACGGCATATAAAAAACTTTGTGCACCTAGGGCTCGCAAAAAGTTATTTCTAAAAGCATTGAATATTATTTTAATTCTTTGAAAGTTTGCCTGAGGTAATCCGAACATTCAATTTAAAGATTGAAATTGTTCAAAAAATTTTAATAAAAAAAAATCTTAAGTATTTTTAATTTTCTTGAATTTTTCATAACTTTACGAACTTCGAATTATAAATAACAATAATAATAGAGAAGTTTCATTTTACCAGTGTGAGGTACTACGCAAGGGATAACCAAGCTTTTGGATAGTTGGAAGATACCTTTCGGTCAGAAAAGATACCACAGTGCCTGAAGATCCATCTCTTCAACCAGCGTGCCCTACCAACAATGACATGGTGCCGAAACAACGACGCTTAATAAGGAAATTGTGCACCGAATACGAGTTGCAAGAAGGGCCATGGAGGACACCATACTCGGTGACATACTTTTCGATAAAATTTTAAACACGTTAATCCGACGTCGGACGAAAGTTCAAGATGTTGGGGACCGTGTAATAGACCTTAAGTGCAGTTGAGCGTGATGACAGCCGCTGGAGTAAAGAGTGTTGGCCAAGGACAGGCCGAAAAAAACCGGGACGTGGCGGGTAGGCGATGTAATGAAAGTCGCGGTCAAAACCTATACAAGAGACACCAGGACTGGAAAGTTTGGCAAGAGAGAAAGTAGGCCTATTCCCAGCAGTAAGTAATACAGGGCTAAAATGATGATCATGATGAAGGGTGAGGTACTTATTAAAATTTAAAAGCTGATAGAAATTTATAAAGATAAATGCTACATGACAAATGATATTACATGACTTTACCAATTTTAGATAAATACGGTCCGGGAGCGAGCGTTCAGCCATTATTTTCACGTGATTTCATAGGTACTTATTTCTCTAAATTGTGTAAACAAAGATGATTTAGCAACTAAACAGCTGCTATTGTAATAACATTAATATTTTTAAGAATTTAGAGTGTAAATTACTTACCGCTAGTGTAAACCTACGTTGTCTTTTTCATGATTAAGCATCAGCTGTTTTAGGTGTTGCATCGGACTATATAATAGTTGAATATTCAACTAAAGTACGAAAATTAGTACGAAAGTACTCACTCGGTTTTAGGGCCCACTGAAAATCAGCGTCACAGCCTTTCCTTGGTGGTGACAATAGCTGAGTGGGATCCTGTTACTTACGCCACAGCCGCGTACATGACACTTAGGGTCGTATTCTAGAACTCTACTCAATGCTCAATTCATGATTTGAGTATGGTTTAAAGCACTCGAAATCATACTCAAGTCCCTGCCATTAGGGTCGTATTTCCAGTGCTTGTGTTGCCAGTGCAAATCTGACTTGAGCATTGAATAGAGTTCTAGAATACGACCCTTAGTTTAATTGTGTTAAATATTTCATGTTTGCTTTGTTGATGTGTATGATGTTATTTTTATTCCTTTTTTTCAGCTATTTTTATTTTAATTATTTGTTTTAATGTAGCTTCATCTTTTTTTTTGTCTTCATTTTATTACTGTGTATATTTTTGTTGTGGCGTAGTAATAAACGACTTCTATTCTATTCTATTCTATTCTATTCTATTCTATTCTAAATATTCCGCTTATTAACGTCAGTTATAAATAATTTTGTACAATGAAACAGTAGGCACTGCAATTTTCAAGTTTTATAATTTAAATTAATGACATAATGACGAAAGTAATTGTTTATTTTACTTTAGTTTGGTTAACTTTCAAAAACTTAATTTAAATTGGGTTTGCAAACAATAAGTATTTGAAATTGATTGATTTTTTTGGCATTTATTTAGCCATAAGTAAATTAGATAATAAGTAGGTAATTTAATTTGATATGTTACCTTTTTGATTTCTAATGAAAATAACTTATTTATGTTACATTTCTTTTGATCGTTTAGATAGGGAAGCGAAACTCTCGCTTTCGAACTTCCAATGTGTGTTCTGCATTAATAAAAGTTAAATGATCATTTACTGTTTTTTCTTATTTCTTCCTTTTGTTTTTAGGTATGTGGTATGACCGAATAGGAAAAAACAGGCCCAATAAGCCGAATACTGATAATAATGACCAATTCGTTGCAACTCTAGTTATTATGGAACAACCTAAGAAAATATTATGGCATACACATAATATTACAGAACTTAAACAGGTCATATATCATATATATTATTTATTTTCATATATATATATATATATATGAAAATGAAGGTCATATATCATATATATTATTTATTTTCATATATATATATATATATATGAAAATAAATAATACAATAATTAAAAAAAATATATATATATAAATATAAATAAATAATATTTATTTTCATATATATATTACCATATATATGTCATATATTATATATATTAAGTTTATTGTGCTTACCAGAAAATATCCGGCTTTAGAAGTTCTGTTGCAGCAACGTATCTCTTCGAGATGGTATCGGAGCAGAGCCGGATTGGTTTCATCGCCTCCGTCGGAACCGTAGTGCATGTCCACAAACTCGATCTATAGATTGACAATGGCATTACAAAATCCATTTTTTATATTAATATATGAATATAAATGAAAATGCATATCACAAATATTAAAATGTAGTGACCTTGGACAACTAAAAACATTCTTAGTACCGATTTTATTTCATACCCGTTCGCGTCATACGTATAATAATTATGAATAATAATGGCGAAGCTGCAGGCGTTGAGCACCACCGTAAGCTGCTTGTTTATGCTATTATGCCCATCCAATCATCGGGGGACTAGACAAGCTAGGGTTCCCCCATGTTATGGATATAGGTACCCAAAATTCGCATGAAGCGTTACGCTTCAACATTTATACGACGTACGGCACTGGAGTGGAATTCCTTGCCCACAGATTTGGTCCCTGAACGCTATAACTTGGGCCTTTTCAAGGCGAAAATGAACAGGAATTATTTAGGTGTGCAAGCTCCATCGCCGACCTTCACATCACTTTCCATCAGTTGAGATGGAGGTGAAATGCGCACTTATTTTAATCACAAAAAATCTGGACCAAGAATGTCTTTTTAAACGCAGAACAGTGAACTGGAGTGGTGAGACTGGATGAGAGCGAATAGGCACTTTCTCGCTTTTCAGAACATCTGCGTAATCTCTCAAAAGATTTCCCAGACGCTCTGCTCTGTTGGCTGGTTTTTAACGCTCTAAATAGCGAGCAGCCCATAACAAATTAAGTTAGACATCTACTCTCATGCGTAACGTAACACACGAACGTGACGGGACGTGCGAATAATCTCTATAAGTGTGTAAAGAAGTAGGGTCTGAAGCAGTTCACTATGTGCACACAGCAAAAAGTATAAGTCTTAGAAACATGAAAGTTGAACTAAGAACGAATTTTTCGAATTCAATCCCTAAACCACATTTACAGACCGAAATCAAGTAAAATATTATTATTATAATTACTCTTATGAAATTTTTAGCCGACTTCAAAAAAGGAGGTTCTCAATTCGACAGCTATTTTTCAATATATTTTTGAACCGATTTTCAGGATTCTTTTTTGTTGGAAAGAGGGTACCTCTGTATTAGTCCTATTAATGTTTGAAGAAAATATTCCACATCCAAGACTAGCAAACTAGGGGATGAATCTGTCTTCGCACACTTTCCGTTAACCGATTTATGTAATTCCAATAAAAAAGCCGATGCAAACGTTTGATGTCGGTTTTTTTTACTAAAAAAGTTATAAATATATTTTCTCGCCTGGTGGTTGGTTTTAACAACATTAACAGATCAAAACTAAATAAGTGCAATATGATGTGTTATGATTAATTATTATGCTGTATGTACGAGTACTTTTAAAATGTTATAGGTATATAGTACAAAATGTACAAATGATATGGATATAAATTGTCTGAAATAAATTATTTATTATTATTATAATCAATAAAAACTAATCATTATGTTATAGGACGTTTTATTAAAAACTCGTAAATATATTTCAGTGTATTTATTAAAACTGCCAGTGGCATTAGCAATTCAAATGCCGTATTGTCATTAAGTTTCCGAATTTTGTTAATTCCACTTCCTTTTCCGCCAGTACTTAATTCAATTATTGAAATAACTGTGGCCAGAAAAGCTTATCATAATGGCGGTTCGTTTTACAAGCAAAAATGGTAAACCATTTTGGAAATATGTCCGTAACGTTTGAAATAGTTTAAGTTTGTAATAAATGTAGTAGTTTTTAATTTCCATACCAGTGAATAGGACATTGAAAAGTTGCGCTTAGTTCGGTTAAAACGGAGCAGTAAACCACAAAAGTAGCACTATCTTCTAATATCACCTAATGTTGTATAGAATCATACTTAGCTGAGCATTGTAAACACGTGATATTGCATTGCATTCTTTTTCTTTCCCGACAAATGATGTGAATTACATTTTTTCATAGTACCAAGTGAAGAACACCTGGTGGTGGTAGGTAAGCGACACGACTGTCCATGGCAATTGCAGTGCCACTCAGAGCTTTAAATCGCAAAGATCTGAGATGATCTTAGATCTGAGAATCTTAGATAAAATTTATATCAAGAATAATTATATACTATTCACTGCCTATGCAACGAATAGTAATCGATAGTGTGTGAATATTTACTAAATAAGCTTGTAAATATTCACATTATTGTAAACAAGTCATCGAGTGTATAACCAGAAATAGAGACGAAATATCATTTAATTTGGTAACCGACTACAAAAAAAGGAGGAGGTCCGCAATTATACAGTATGTTTTTTTTGTGTGTATGTTATAGGTATTTGTGATTTTCATGATTCTTTTTTTTTGTTGGTAAGAGGGTACCTCCATAGTGGTCCCATTTAATTTTGAAGAAAATCATCCATCTCTAAGGGTGGCTGTTCACGCAAGATTCATATTATAAATAGCGCCTAAATTTTAATATAAGGAACAATTATTTTAATTGTTGATTTTGCTATTCTCCAATTCAAGGCGTTTTTCTCTCTCAATATACTTTGAGTAGTAAAAACCGATTTTTATTATCTCCTGAATGAAGTCCTGATAGTGGTGAACTAGGGGATATTTCAATAAATCTTGGCAAATAGATGTAATTCCACGTACTTTTGAGGTCGGCTTTTTTAGTACGCTGTACTGAGATTGTATTATTTCCTGTGTCAAGTCCCGTATATTGGCGAATTAGGGGATGAATCCGGGTTTACGCACTTTCCGGGAACCGATTTCAATAAAACTTGGTATTTAAGAAAATATATCAAAAAATGATTTACTGCAAGCAGTGAAGCAGATTGCAGACGTCCATATAGATGAAAATATTATATATGTACGTGCAAGTTTGAAATAGAGTTCTGAATTCGTGGAACTAGTGTAATAGGATAAAACGGTTTGCATTTTGTCAGTAAGTGTTCCTTGCATACGGAAAGCCGGCTGGACGCCAGGAAAAACGTAGGCGAGAAGAAATATGGCCACTGTTGACCTTGGCTCTCAAATTTTTCAAAACTATGTCGCATCGCTTGGAAGGGTAACAGTCGGTTGATAATAAAGATAGTGCCGGAAGAAAGAAAATGAGGCATAGCTTCATCTAACAAAAGTTGAGTGTCAAGGTACAATTATTTAACGTATATATTATATTATAATGATATAATATAATGTATACATGGTATGATTACGAACACACAGAAAAATTTCGTCGACCCGGTGAGACTCGAATCCACATCGACATCGCACATAGGAGAATTCCGACGACTCGGTAAGCAGCACATGACACAAATGCACCTACAGCACAGGACCATTTGTAATGTCTATTAAAATGTATAACAGAATCTCTAAAGAAATTTCATACCTATACAGAATAATTTATTTACCAAACACCGTAAAGCACATTTTATAAAGCATGAGTATTTTTAGGAATATAATTTACAATTATTATTTTTATAACTAATGCTACATTCTTATTTTTTTAATATTAGACAACATCACATAAGTTGTCTGATCGCAAAGTACGAGTAAGTAACTAAAGCACTTGTGTTATTGAAATCGAAAACAACGACGGTACTATAACGGGTCGAAGCTTGGGTTTGCGTAGAGGCACTTTTTAAATATAAAACTGGGCTATTTCCATGAACAGATATTTATTTACGTCTTAACTGATGGAAGCTTATTCTAGAACAACCTAGATGTCCGTTTGACATCAACACTCTATTATTTATACAAGTCTAAATACAAACCTAAGCTGCCTGTATTACATCCCTCCTCCTCACAACTTAAGGGGGGGGGGGGGGTCCTCACTGTAAGCGAGTGCCCTACCTATGACAGGCAACTTACATATGTGATCAGCCTTTACTATAGGCTAGCCACACACTGCTCGGAAGCTATTATCTTACCAACAAACAAAACCACCGAGGATGCTGTGGCTTTAATCTGCCAAAAAACTATCTAAAAAGGACAGACTATGATCACATCCTAATCGAGCAATTCAAAATATAGTTACTCATTAGCTATCCTAGCTATTTAGGTATCCTATCTAAACCCTAGCTATGAAACCCTAACTCTTTATTTTAGCCAAAATCCTAGCTAGGCTGAATGCTACTTAAACTCTTTAAACACAACATTAAACAATCTTCATCGTGCACGCTGTTCGCTGGGGAACATCAATATTGAATTCCCAGCTGCCTTAGTCCTGGTCGTGCAGCTATCCACGTTCCATCAGATATTCTTACTTTCTTAGAACAATTTTAAAAAAATACCCAAATTATCCTAACAACAACAACATAAATATGATATGGTGATATATCATATTAAAGACTCATCACAATTAAACAAATATATTTTCCCTTGAAAGCAGACAGTTCTTGTTCATCTGGAGGAATGATCAACAACTATACACATATATCCAGGTTAATATATTCATGAACACAATAAATAAAATGAGTTCTTCTTCTTCGTTCTTCAGTAGGTAGTTTAACGGTTTTCTATTTCTAGGGGCTGATAAGTTATTCATATTTTATTGTTAAGTGTTTGTTAATCTTTTGTGTTTGTTTTTCTTGTGGAGTAAACTATGGGCCCAGGATGAAAATGTTCTTCCTATCCACATGAACAAGACACTGCCTATCAGAGATCCTGCCTACCAGACTAGGAGTAGGTCTGGCTAACCTAACTTCCTCATATTACCATATCTCCAGGACAACAAAGCAACTCTATCTTTCTTATTAAAGTTACGCTCCTGTTCTGATCGCACAGGGGATAGGTGTGTCAGTTGTAACAAAAAAATCAATTCTTCATAATATTTTAATTAGTAAACACAGAGCAATACTTTTTGGCCACAATAATTTTAAGTTATTTAATAATAAAACAAAATAAAGGAAATAACAGAAAGGTACATAAAACTCCAGAAAATGACACTTATTGAGATCAACTAATAACGTTACAATTGCGGCACTCGTAACATACAAAAATCGTCAACAGTAAAAAGTAAATTAAATAAACTCTTATCAGAAGTTTATGCTAGTCACTTAACAGTC